GGGCTATAAAAGGGCACCCAAATCCTCTCTTTTAACACACAATTCTTCAACATTTCAATACTCCTTCATTGCATAATCATTCCTATTTTTCTTAGCTATTTGAGAGCCAATTCTTGAAGAAATTGTCGTGTTCTTGAGCGTTTACTAGTTCACTCATATCTACTCTTTGTGAGAGTTTTATTCCTGAGTGTTTAAGTGTTTTCATACACTTTAAGGGAGTTTGTTCCCTTGTTGTAAACTCGAAGGAAGTTTCTTGTTCCTTCGTGAGAAGTCTTGGAGTGCGGTATCTCCGAGCAAAGGTGTTGAGGCTCGTGTGACTCGGGTTCTCAAGTTGTATCGGTTTGTTAAGCACCCTTAAGCTTAACGGAGTTAGTGTAGCTCGAGAGAGTCTCTCGGGGGGCTGGATTAGCCACATGTTGTGGTGAACCAGGATAAAATCCGGTGTGCTCCTTCTTTACGCTCTTCCCTTTTTAAAAAAGGTTCATCCTTAAAATAAATGCTTTTGATGTTTTTTTAATTTTGTTCTTACTTTAAAATATAGTAAGATGATATGTGTACGATAGATGAGTGATACTTATAAAATAACATTAAAATTCCTCATTTTAGAAGCGCGCCTTTTTTCAAACAGGAATGATTTTATGCTGGGACGAAGGAAGTATAAAACTTCTCTTTCTTCTCCGTTTGATTTTGTTTTCACGAGTAACTTAATGCAACTCTTTTTGTCCTCGGTCGAAGTATACAATTTAGGCAGCGTTTTGTTCAACTTATTTTTTATGTTTATTACTTATTTTTATTAAAATCAGATCCGATCAAATCAGACCCTGTCAGATTAGATCCAATTAGATCAGACCAGACCAAATCAAATCTAAAAAAATTATTATTATTATTATTACTACTATTACTATTACTATTACTATTATAACCACTATTTTTAGCATTATTATTACTATTACTATTAATATTATGATTATAATTATTATTACTATTGTTATTACTATTCTTATTAATATTAATAATAATAATATTATTATTATTAGTATTTCTATTATTATTACTATTATATTTATTATTTCTATTATTATTATTATTACTATTATTATTTCTGTTATTATTATTACTATTATTATTATTACTATTTCTATTATTATTACTAATATTACTATTAAAATTACATTTAATTTTATTATTATGACTATAATTATTACTATTATTATTATTAAAAATATTATTATTACTATTATTATTAGGACTACTACTACTACTACTATTATCATTGTTACTATTATTATTAGTATTATTATTATATTTATTATTATTACTATTATAATTACTATTATTATTATTATTTCTATTGTTTTTATTATCAATATTTCTATTATTATTATTATTATATCTAGTATTATTACTATTATTATTAGTATTATTAATATTATAGTTATTATTATTATTACTATTCCTACTATTATTATTATTAGTCTTATTATAATTATTTTTATTTTTATTATTGTTATTATTATTAATATTTCTATTATTATTATTATTACTATTATTATAACTATTATAATAAAAATATAATTTTAATTTTAATTTTTATTTTAATCAAATTCATAACAGATCAAACCATATCAGATCGGATCAGACCAGATCAAATCATATTAGACCAAATTATATTAGATCCAATCAAATCAGATAAGATCAAGTCCAATCAGATCAGATCATACCAGATTAGAACTTCAAAAAATCAGATGGGATCAGATCAAGAGAATTGAATGCAACCTTACACACCTAAGCCACGCCCCTAGCAAAACATATTGAATTAATTGACCACTTTTTTTATAGAAAAAATAATAATATCAACGGCTAATAATTATTTAAGGCTATAAACGGTTAACAGTGTGTTAGGATGGAGGAAGAGGAAGGTAGGGTAAGGTTATATTTAACCTTACCTTGTTTGGGAGGAGAAATGAAGACCGGTAAGATGAGGTAGAGTGAGGTAATTTAACCGCGTAATAGTGGAATTAAGCTGTCCGCTAAATCCCTGGGGAAACAAGGTTACATTTTATCTTTCCATGTTGCCCTTCTCTTCTTCCTATCTTTTCTTTGATCTTGCAGCTGTCCAGTTCCGCATATCACCATCGACGACCCAGCAGCGGCAGCTTCTTAGATTCTCCCATCCGGTGATTGTTCCTATTCTCTTTTCTTCCTTTAGTATGTTTAATTTTTGCTTTTTTGGTTATTTTTCTATTTTCTTGTCCTTCTTTTTTTGTTTTTTGCTATTTATTAAAATACTCCCTCCGCTCTAATAAAAGCTTCCTAGTTTGACTTGGAGCCAAAATAAGGAAGTGTTAAATTATAATTGACTTTCAAATTTGCTCCTGATGTGATGGGTAAAAGTAAGATGTGATGGATGTATTATTAGAGAAAAAATATAATGTGATATGTAAGATATGAGAAAGGAGGCCGATTCCCATAACATTGGTTCCCAATGTCATGGGAACCAAGGTGATGAAATAGTAAGGGTAAAAGTGGTTTTTAATAGAAAGGGGAAGTGTTTTGTTGGAAATGGGAAAAATGAAAGAGGGAGTGTTTATGAGAACGGAGGAAGTATCATTTTTCCTGTTTTTTGCTCTTTTTTCTATTTATTTTAATATCCTATTTTTATAATTTTATTTCCGGGTTTTTCGCTATTTGTTGAAATATCATTTTTTTCTGTTATTTTTTTCCCTTTTGTTTTTTTGCTTTTTATTTTAACATCCTATTTTTTTTTATTATTTTAATACTAAGTTTTTTGCTGTTTTTTTCAATATTTATTGAAATATCTGTTTTGTTTTTCAATTTTTAGTTGTTTTTTTGGCAATATGAGTTTTTCCTTGGCGATGGCATCCCGGCCGGTGGATTTGTAGTCGCAACGGCAATGGTGGCGATCGGAGTACTGGTGTTTGATGCAGAGAAGCTCGCCGCACCGATATCGAAATCCGGTCAGGCTAAACACAAGGCTATTTAGGTAATTTTATTATTTTACCTACCTCACATTATCTAATAAATATTCAAACACAAATTTCCAATATATTGCCTAACTTTGCCTACCTTCCATTACATATCTTTATTCTTTAGTTAGCTAGTACCTACCATTATTTACATAATAAGTTTTTACCTCTCCTCCATCCAAACATACCCTAAGATAAGTCGAGAGGATTCTAAAAGAGAAGCTAGCCGACAAGTAGCCTTGCGTTTATTTAGTCCGTGGTGTTGTAAAGGCATGGATTGCTAATTTGCTATAGACAAAACTTCTGCAGAGTAGTGAGTACAGTGTACCACCCACCTTATTCTTATTTATTTATTATTTACGGAGTACATACTCTTTCCCTTCTAAAATAAAGATTAAAAAAAGCTACGAACCATCAAAAAAATTACGAGTTAAGATATACTCTGTATTTTTTAAATTATTTTATTTTCTATTAAATTAATAACACGAATAAAATTTATATATTTAAGAATTAAATAAAAAAATCTATAAACAATTGATTAACTGTATTATTTTATCAAACAATCAATAAAAATAAATAACAAATAAAATTTACCATAACCCTGAAATAATAAATGAAATTTTTTTTAGAGACGAACATCTCCCTTCGTCCCAGAAAACATTTTCTAACGTATAACAATGTTTGATACTTTGATTGAGTTTATATATTTTCCATTCAATATATATTGGAATATGGGATAAAAGGGGGTAAGTTTTAAAAATAAAATGTATATACTTAAAAAAACTTCATCAATAAATCTACAAATTAAGGGGGTGACAACGACATCTTATTTTATCAAACAAATAATGACATTAATCAAATAACGTGATTGAACTTTGACCATTCAAATTATAATCTGGAAAATCTTTATGGGACGGAGGGAGAAATAAATAGGTTTATTGTTATAATAATTAATAATATATTGTATGCAATATATGTATGATAATATGTTTATTATCATAAAAATTAACAATTTCTTATCAACCTTTAACCATTCTTTTTTTTTTTAATTTTTCAACCCATTTTTGAATCCTGTGAAAGTCAAATGTAAAAAAATTATTTTGAGATGGTGAGAGTAAAAGTTTGTTGTAGGCATTTTTAGATATGTTACACCCCATTCCAAAATACCAACACTTATCATTAACATTGTTTCAAACAAAGCTAACGTTGAGTATTATCCTTCAATTCATTGAACTCTTTTAATCCTCGAAAGTGTTCCCTAAGCTCAGTGTTTTATTTCGGTATTTTGAAAATATTATCTACTGGTAGTACTTAACTTATACTCTAACATTTTTATTATTAATTTACATGATTAGAAATAATAGAAAACGATAATTAATCTCAAAAATCGTTCCAAACAAAGCCTAAAACTCCACTCAAAAGTCAAAGGCAGAAGATAGATTTGAGAATCCCTCTGTCAATCCTAAATGCATGAGCTAGTTGCATTGTTGTTTTCGTTATTGTTGTAGACACATTAGCTGGTGGCCACAACTAATTAATTTTACCCATTTTTTCCCACCGACGCTCTCTTGACTCTTGAGTTCTTTACTACCAAGCGCTGTGGAAATACCCCTAACGCCAGCCGCGTTAGGTGTTTAACAAGTGGCGCGCACCCAAAAATCTTAGGTAATGGGGTTCTGGGAGATATTTTATCAAGGCACGACATGTCGAGCATTAAGTTAAACAGTATTTTCTTGTCATGTTTTTGTCTCATTTCGGTTTATAATGTTTAATTAGAGCATTTTTTAAATATATTTAAATATTGGTGTCGAATAAAAACTTAAAATTGTAGATTTAAAAATAACATAAAATATTCTGTCAAATAAGAGATTTCATGACTATAATTTTTAATAAAATGATAGACGAAAACATGTGAAGAAAAAATATCTAATTTAACCCTGTGAACAATGGATAGGACAAGCAGAACAAGATGATGGAGAAACTCATGAAATTAAAGATTATATTTATTAGAAAAATATTAAATTTAACTAAAAATAAATTGTATTACAATGTAAAAATAAACTAACTTATGCGGAGTAACCACAAGCATCTACTCTTTACCTTTTAAAATTATATTATTATAACATCTTCACTGATCTTTATATAGTATAAAATTTGAGAGTTCTGATTCTAGAATTGTGACATGTGGCGAGCCTATTGGGCATTTTTTTGACATGTCAGCATGCAATGTCAACAAGTAATATTTTAAGATTAGTTAACCAAAAAAACCTTATTCTATGGAAATTAAATTTCATATTTGTTACACACAAATTTCTAAACATAATCGTGTTTAAAAACTTTTATGCTTTAATTCATTACTAGAAAATATTTAAATTATATAAGATGTTTTAAAACTGAAAAAGAGAACTCATACTCAAAAACAATAATCAAAACAAATACCATCAATAGGCAGGTTACAACATGCGTCTACAGAATAGCTCGCTATTAACTATCCAGTGATGATATGTACAAGTTATAAGAGTTT